ATGAAGGTCAATCTATGTTGTCACAAATGGCAGGATTTTCTTCTTCTGCGTGGTTCAATAATATTCCATTGTGTGTATATATACAGGGTGGGCAAAACTAGGTTTACAGTTGTGAGTATGTAAAACAAATTTTACTTTTCTTTTTTTTTTCTTTTTTGTTTTTATTATTAGTTAAGGTGTTACAAATGTTTCCTTATCTCCCCGCCCCCCATTCCTATGGTAACTCTGTTTAACCTTCTGTGTTACTGCCAGTTGTTTTCAAAGTAACTGTTCCATTTTACATTCCTACCAGCTGTGCATGAAGGTTCCATGTTTCTCCATATCTTTGCCAACACTTATTATTTGTCTCAGATATATTCATTCTAGTGAATGTGAAGTGGTACCTCACTGTAGTTTTGATTTGTCCCGATGGTTGATGATGTTGAGTATTTTTTAATTTAATTTTCTAATTACAGTTGATATTCAAAATTGTTTTATATTAGTTGCAGATGTACAGCACAATGGTTAGACAATTACATAATTTACAAAGTGATCCCCCTGATAATTCCAGTAGCCACTTGGCCCTATACATACCAGTAGTTATTACAATATTACTGACTATATTCCTTATGAAGTATTTAACATCCCAGTGACTGTTTTGTAACTATCAGTTTGTACTTCTTAACCCCTTTACCTTCTTCACCCAGCCCCACTCAAAACCCCCTCCCATATGGCAACCATCAAATTTGTTTTCTGCATCTATGAATCTGTTTCTGTTTTGTTTATTTGTTCTTTATATTCCATATATAAGTGAACTCATGTGGCAATTATTTTTCTCTGACTTATTTCACTCAGCATAATAACCTCAAGATTTATCTATATTGTTGCAAAGAGTAAAATTTAATTGTTAATATGGCTGAGTAATATTCCACTGTATACATGTACCAAAATTTCTTTATCTACTTGTCTATTAATGGGCACTTGGATTGCTTCCATATCTTGGCTAGTGTAAATAATGCTGTAATAAACAAAGGGGTACATATATCTTTTTGGATTAGTTTTGGGCTTCTTCGGATATATTAGCCAGTTTGAGATATTCTCTGGAGAAATATCTATTCAGATACATTGGTCATTTATTTTTATTTTTAATGTACTTTTTATTATTAACTAGAGGCCTGGTGCACGACTTTGTGCACCAGTAGGGTCTCTCTGCCTGGCCTGCGAGATCAGGCCGAAACCAGCTCTCCGACATCTCCCTAGGGGACCCAGATTGTGAGGAAGCGCAGACCATGCTGAGGGACCCCACCGGTGCACAGCTGGAGCCAGGGAGGGACGAAGGAAGTTGACCAGCCAGGGAGGGACTGTGGGAGGGCTCCAGGTTGTGTCCGGCCTGTCTCACTCAGTTCCAATCAGCCAGACCACAGGAGCAAGCTAACCTACTGGACAGAGTGTCTGCCCCCTGGTGGTCAGTGCACATAATAGCGAGTGGTCGGCCAGTTGTTCCGGTCATTTGGTCCTAGCAATCCATTAGGCTTTTATATATATAGAAGATTATAGATCCTTATCAACATTTTACCAATTGTATAGTATTTCATCATCTGAATGTACCATGATTTATTTGCTGCGGAGTCATTCATGAGTCAACATTTTGGTTCTGTGGCAGAAACTGCAGATTGCCCCTAATATTCCTTCTTTCCTTTTCCTTAGTAACAAAACTCCTTCTTTTTAGTTAGGCAGGTGCTGTTTGGAATAAAGGCTTATTTCCCAGTTCCTTTTGTAGTCAGGTGTGGCCATGTAATGAGCTGAAATGTTATGTTTAACTTCCAGGAACTATCTTTAAAAAGAAGAACCCTGCTTTCTTCTTCATATCTTCCTGCTGGCCAGAGGATGGATAACTATCTCAGACCACAAGCTGAAATCTTCATGTTGAAGAGGTTGCAGACACAAAATAGAAGGAACCTGGGTCACTATTGACCATGAAGTTGCAATATTAGCTATCGATTGCTTATCTCAGGACTTTATTACATGGTAGGAAAATAAATTTCTAATTCATTTAAGCTATTGGTATTTGGTTATTTTCCTGAATAACACACTTTGCCAAATATTTTGCCATCATGATTTA